GATAGTGAACAGAGGATACATTATTCAGTGAAGAAAGAAAAAGGATTCTAGGTTTTCTTTTATGAGTCACATTTTTGTTTAAATCCATTCAAAACTGTTTTATGATTAAAAGGCAACTTTCCTGATCACAGATATTCACAGAAATATTCAAATATGAATTTGATAAAACTGCCTTGCAGGAAAAGTAACTCTTGTGAGATTAATATACAAACATTGTGGATAGACTTCAAGAGCTTCCAAAGTTATTGACAGGTTTAAGGTAAAACACCACAGCTAGACTTTCAAGTGGACATGCCTATGTATGAGTAAATATCATCAAACTAAAGGGGCTGTGGTTCCTGTGGCTGAAACCCAGATAAACTTTAAAGATGCAATGCAAAACAATTTTCTAAATCACTTCTTTTTTTTATTTTTATTTTTTTTAAAGATTGGCACCTGGGCTAACAACTGTTGCCAATCTTTTTTTTTTTCTGCTTTATCTCCCCAAACCCCCCCACCCCCGTACATAGTTCCATATCTTAGTTGCAGGTCCTTCTAGTTGTGGGATGTGGGACGCCGCCTCAACGTTGCCTGACGAGCACTGCCATGTCCGCGCCCAGGATCCGAACCCTGGGCCGCCGCAGCGCAGCGCACGAACTTGACCACTCGGCCACGGAGCCGGCCCCTAAATCACTTCTTAACACCTGCCTAGTCCTAGAAAGAATATAGAGCAGCAATGCAAAACTTGGTTAAGATGTTTCCTTCATCCATGTCCCTCAGAAATGTAGCTGGCCCGTTCCATTAAAAGCTACCACATTCAAGTTATTAATGTACAACAAACAAATCAGTCTAATATGCATTACTGATGACATCACTCAATAATGGAATTGAGATGTTCTATCCAAATCTGGAAAAAGAATCATTCTTTCTTCTAAATGTCTTAATAGATGAAATAAAAATCAGCAAATTTATATAAGAATGAAACTAATTATGTATACTTTATCAAGCCAGGGAATATATAAAATAACAATCGTATGTATTGACAAGTATGTAACTGATCAGTCAAGAAATTGTCAAAATCCAATAGAAGTTAAAACTTGCCAGGAGTAAGATAATTCAGACAGCTCAAATTTACAGCAAAATTCAGAGGGAGGCGGAGGAAAGTAGCTATGCAGAGACACTCAAGAATATGCAATGACTATTAAAATTGATAAGAATTTTAAAGAAAACTAAAGGAAATAAGATGAATGAAGTTAGTAATCAGGTTAGTAAGGAAATGAAAATCCTAGATTAGCAACTTAAAATCAGAAAATATTATTTTTAAAAAAGCTGTTGAGGAGAAAAACCAGAGAAGGTAAGAGCAGACACGTCTTCAAGTTAACACCCCTCATATGTGGGTATAAAAGAAAACAAATTAGACTACAAAGTGAAACCAACACACTGTCAGTTCTATAATGACTTAAGACTCAAGTTCAATGAAATTCACTGACTTATCACAAATTATGAACTAAAATTTGATGGTAATATTTATGCAGACAAGTGAAAATTATAAAAAATGGTCAGAATTGGACAGAAATGTGTTTTGTGATTCTGTAAGATTCACCATCTCACAAAACATATGAAAATCTTATTTTCTGGGAGCCCCATGTTTACAGGAGTTTAAGACTAATATCGTCCCATTTCTCATTTGATCCTTTCCAACAAAAAGCCATGGAAGCTTCAAATACTTTTAATCCTGTAGGCTAGTATTCTTTTGATATTCAGTGCCAAAAATTCCACTGTTTATTCCTCCCTTTGTTGTGTCCTTGATACTTGACGAAGAACCTTTAGAAACCTTTGGGGAAAAAAAAGGGACGTATGAGCATCCTCTTCCTTAAGGATTGCTGAAGATAGATCAGTAAGCAAGGAAAAGGATGCTAATTTTTTCCAGTATTTGGCTAAATGTGTATTTCCTTTTGAGAATTCCCCTTTCGTGCTACTTGACAAATCTAGGGTTGGAAATGTCTAGAAGACAAGCGATGCATAAATGTAGTGAGCTTTTACACTACATTAGAAAAGTAGATCCAAACTCCCTACGCTGCTACCGTTGGGCAGTGTTGAGCAAATCGATGTGTCCTGTCCTCCATCTAAGTGCACTGGTACAAAGCAGGTATTCAGGGGAAAGACGGCTGCTTCCTCACCATTTTGGTTTTCATCAAAAATATCCCAAGTCAGTGTTATGTGGAGGCTCTGGTGTATGTTTTTCTTTGGAACCTTCTCCAGTGGATCTGTGACTACATTTTTACTAAGTCAATTATCTTTAAAGAAATGAGGTAGTTCAGTTTGAGTAGTATTCTAAGAGATCAAATGAACAAAGCTAATAATTGAGAATATTCCCCCTTTTTTTAAAGTTAAAGTTAATTTAAAGTTAAAAATGTAACACTGAGTGAGTACCTTCTACGTTAATGAAAACCCTTAGATTGTTTCTAATGTTCCCAGATTAACGGAGAAGAGGGTAGAGCACTGAATTAGAGCACAAAGCCCTCTCACAGCCTTTGCTAGGAAAAGGATTTCTTTCAAACCCTGTGGAAACGCTAGTACTATTTCTACACTACTTCCTTCTAGCTTGTGGAAAGGCATGTTAACTGGGATGCTCAGAATGAGGACGAATGACTTTCTGACAAATGTAGCTTTTCTTCTCTTTTAATGCTAGAAAACCACCACCCTGTTCAATGAACGTTGGCAAGCCTACTAAGTGTAAGCTAAGGGCTAGGCAATAGAGATACAAATACAAAGTCAGATAAAGAAACAAAACATAAATAAGACAGGATCTCTATCCCTGCAGGCACTTAGTCAGGTAGAAGAGAGAAAATACAATGCCATCTCTGCTATAACAGAAATATTTTAATATATCATAAATAGGTGCAAGGATGGAGTGGATCGCCATCCTTAATTTTATCTAAGGGAGCCCTGGAAAGATCCACAGAGGAGGAATGCCTATATAATTTCAAAGGAAAGAACAGACTGGCAGGCATGGAGCTGACGAAGGCTGAAAAGAGATTTTCTAGACAAAAGAAACAGCTTTGGTGAAAATAATGTTCTATAAAATACTAAACAGCTTATGGTTCTGCTGTTTAGGAAACACTAGATAAAATGAAGTTAAACAGGTTTATTTAAAGACCTTTGCACATAATTCTCCAAGAGGAAAGGAAAAGCAGGTGAGCAGCATTCCTCACACTTATTTGGCACAGAATCCCTTTTAGCAGAACACTTTTGACAGAGTAGTGCTCCTGGGGATATACTGTGAGAAACCTGTACTGGATAATCTGTACTTCTGGCCCAAATTAGTCAGTGTATCTAAGAAGAAAAATCTAGAGAAGAAACTAACACCAGCTGTCTTAATGTCTTAATCTAAGACTTCTCAAGCTATCACAAAATTCAGCATGTCTTTAGTGCAACTAAGGCTCCAAGAATTCAAAATGCGGGGAAAAAGATTATTTGACAGCCAGCTAGAGAGACAGGTAAGATCAGCTGGTATGAACCCATCCTAAGAGAAGTGGGAGGCAGACATTCAAACTTGGCCCAATCTAACCACTAGCAGAGACCAGAGTTTGTCACCAAGATTTGCCTCTGGCCCAGTCCACTCACTGTCAGCCAAGGACCTAGATCTGGGGTTAAGACAAAGAAGACATCAGCCAAAAAAAAACCTCTGACAAGCCATTTTCTCTAAAAATCTCTATACATCTAGAGGAAAGCCCCAGAATATGAAATTAAAAAGGGGCCTCAGGCATGGTCCTCACTTCACTGCAAACCCCCAGAGCTCTGGCACAGTGGGAGCACTCGTGTGTCTCCAGCACTGATTGTGGTGTTCCTGGCAGTGACTGGTGGGAAGCAGGTCTAAGCAGAAGCAGCATCAGTGCCCAGCAGTGGCAGGGAGGCCAACATGGCTGAAGGGGGTGAAGGTGATGGCTGAGGAGGCAGTGCTATCCAGAGGTGGCTACAGGGCAACTGACCCAATTCATTCACCAGCACATGCAAAACCCACACCGGGGAGTTTAGAAAGTATTGCCGGGGCAGGGGGGGGGGGGGGGGGGGGGGCGGAGGTCTATCAGGGGTATTGATGGCGCAATAGCCACCCAAACCAGTAAAATCTGGATTGTGTACACAGCAAAACGAAAACGGCTTCTTTATTCAACAGAGATGACATAACTTGAAGGACATATTCCTAGGACAGGGTAGATAAAGTGAGAAGTCATACCATAAACATAATCAAGAAGTATGGCACAGTGATCAGGGGCATGAGCTCTGGAGCTAGACTACCTGGGTTCAAATCCAAGGTCTGACACTTACTAGCTATATAGCTTTGGCCTAAGTTATTCAACCTCTCTGTACCTCAACTTGTTCACTGTAAAATGGGGATAATAATACCTACCATATAGAGTGAATATTAGAATTAAATAAGTTAATATACATGTAAAGTGCTTAAAAGGAAGTTAACCTCCCTAATTTTCTCCCATTAACTTTTTCTTTAAAACAGCAGTAATAGTTACTATTTATAATGCATTTCCTCTGTGCCTTTCACTGTTTTAAGCCCTTTACATATAGTTCTCACCTCAGCTTTAAAATTAATGAACATGGATGAAGCGCTTAAAACAATGCCAAGTACATGGTAAGAACACAATAAATGTAACTACTACAACTACTACTATTCTTATTTATGGTGATGATGATGATGATGAAAGCTACTCTTCATGGAGCACCTCCTGAACTAGGTACTATGCTAGGTGCGGTGCATACAGTGTCTCTGAGTCTCACACAGGGCTGCAAGGTAAGACACATCATCTTCATTGTGTGGATGAAGAAACTGCTGCAGAAAGATTAAGTAACTTGACTAAGAATCCCCAGTAAGTGAGAATTCTGAGTTTCAAAACCAGGCCCCCCTGGCTTCAAAGCCCTGTCCCCCTCTTCTACATTACGTTGCTTCAGAATTTCTTTTAATAATATGTTAGATGAAAATAACAAAATACAACTATTTTTTCTAGTTTCAGGAGGTAACAACATTGACTAGAGACATCTGGAATGTGAAGACTGCTGTGCGAGGCTACCATGTGGTGGGGCGCCAGGAGGGAGGGAGGAGGACAAAGGAAGCTCCGACTGTTTTTTAAATATTCATTTCTTTGCACCCACCTGCAGCAAATATGATAAAACGTTAACATTTATTAAATACCGGCGAAGGGTTCATGGCTGTTCGTTATACTATCCTCTAATATTTTCCCTCTGTATTTTTCTGTATGGCTGAAAGAGTTCCTTAAAAATAAACATGTGCTACTGTGTGTACTACTACTCTTTACACTGTGGAAAGCTTCATGGAACCAGAGAAAAATAACAGAATTGGGGAGTCTGGAGAATCAGATTCAAGTCCTAACTATGCCATTAATCAGCTACAGGATTTTAAGTAACTCACAACCTTTCTAGAATTCAAGAACTTATCAAATCAAGAACTTTACCAAATAAAATACGAAATGATATCTTAGGGCTGTCCAGTGTGAACATTATGATTCATTTATTAATGCCACTATATAAATGCTGTAATCCTATGAGGGTGATAAAACATCAAAGAATTAAAGCTCAACAGGACTCATAAATTCACGTTAATTGTTAAATCTGGAAAGTACCTCTCAATAGCTTACTTGCATAAAATATTCTTTGTTACTCCTGTAATTCATTGGCTCCCAGCATTTTAAAATGTGAGAATCTGGGGGTCAGCCCGGTGGTGCAGTGGTTAAGTTCACCTGTTCCGCTTTGGCGGCCCAGGGTTCCCCGGTTCGGATCCCAGGTGAGGACATGACACTGCTTGTCAAGCCATGCTGTGGCAGGCATCCCACATATAAAGTAGAGGAAGATGGGCATGGATGTTAGCTCAGGGCCAGTCTTCCTCAGCAAAAAAGAGAAGGATTGGCAGATGTTAGCTCAGGGGTACTCTTCCTCAAAAAAAAAAAAGAAAGATGAAAATGTGAGAATCCTTTCTTAACATTACCATCACCATAGACATGGTACACATGTGGATCCACAGACCCTGTGAAAACTCAGGCTGGGAAATACTAAACTTTTAGACTCGGTACCCTAGATAGTTTGTATCATAAAAGCAATTCAAACCTAATTACTAAACAGGGTGAGTATTATGTATAAGGGACTCTGTCAAAGCTCTCTCAGAAAGATCAAACTATCAGGAGGAACATTCAAGAAAGAACCACAAAACATGGATTTTAAGGTTGTTTTACACCAAAAACATTAACTCTTCTAGTCTTTTTTTTTTTTTAACGAATGAACCACAAATTTCTCCTCCTTAAAAGACACATACCATTTTGCAAATTTAAGTGCTACAAGTCAAAAAGATGTAAAGTAAAGAAGCAGCCTGAAATGAGAACTGAAGCATGGCGGTTCTCTGCCCAAGTCAGTCTCAGCTCCACTTGTGACAATGTCCCAACCTGAATTCTAACTCCCTCAGTCAAGGGCTCTCTGCAGCCACACAGCCTGCTTTTCTCATAATCTGTATCATAATTTCAGAAATGCTTATCTGTGTCAAATCACAGAAGTGATGGTTTGCGTTTTTTAAATGGAGAAAAGCTAGGATACATTAATATTTAATGAGTTATTTTGAGTGCTAACCTGAAAACACAATTACTGCTAAAATATTTTTGCTTTTGTATTATTAAAAATTATGTTTTTAGAGAACGCTTGCCATTCAGCCAATTAACACTCCTTATTTAAGTAACATGAGCAGTTGTCACTGCAATTTATTCCCTTTTTCTTCTTCTACTTTTAAGATCTTTCTTAGATGCAATTTATTCTTTAAACTGAAAACAGTGACTAACTTTTGGTTAATTACATCTGGTGTTTGCGACACAAGTTTGACATAATTGAGTTAGACAATACAAACATTTTCTATGGAAGGAATTCTAGTATCTTACAATATATATTTTTTTGTTTACTTCAGGATTTTAATACAAAATATCATCCCTCAGTGGGCTGTGCAATTAATCTGTCCACCTCCTTTGTAAAAAATCACTCCCTACTTGCATAGTCCAGTAAACAAGTGGAAAAAGCTGGAGACGGTTGATGCCTAGTAATAAATGAAGCCAAAATACCACAAATGTGCCAATAAACTACAAATAATGGTCATGTAAAATTCTCAAATGAAATCTTTTAATTCTGATACTGGTGCGTTTGCTAGTGTTCATGTTTTCACCCTTTCACTGATTAGATGATATCTTTTTGGTACCGAGAAGTACCATACAGATTATTCTAAAGTAGGTATTTGGACTTGCAACCTCAAGAATCTCCCCAAACCACCTTCAGCCAAGTTGAGATCAAACAACCCTAGACTAGTATTATCCCCTAGGAGACTGGAGTTTCCCCAGTGGGTCTTGACCAATGTCATATGTTCCTCGATCCCCTTCAATTATTCCTTGGAATAATTTCTTCCCAGCCATTTGCTCACCTATTCCTACTCACTGAGTGTCTATATACCCATCTTAAAACAAAACAAACAAAAAACCTTTGGGCCAATGAGTACATTAAAATAATGAAAAGGTTTTGAAACTTGCAAAGTGCTGAATGATGCTTATGTTTAGGTGTTGTTTCTACAACTGCTTTTGGAGGCACAAACTCCCTGTAAGAATACTACCCACTCTGGTTAATCCTTTGGAAGGTAGATCAGGAATGAACCTAACTTCTTGGTTCATTGTCTAGCATAAGTTACCTACTGGAATTAACAACAACACAGAGTTGGAGAAACTAAGAATTCAAAGTGAAATAGAACATTCTAGGAATGGAATGGGAGGGAAGGAAAAAAAAACTTCATTCAGTATGTGGCACTCTTTCCTTAAAAATGTAATTTAAGCAAATATTAACATTATAGATGCCATCTGCCCACTAATCACTTGAGAGAAAAGGCACATTAATTCCAACATCCTGTCCCAAATATAGTCTGAATCGTTACTGTCTGTCTACCTAAATAATGTCTTCCTCATTTCAACAATTCTGGAGGTATTCACAAATATGCCAGTTTCTTTTCACTGCAGCAAAAGCTACAATTCAGCAGAACCAAATAATTGCATTTATTTTAAACTGGCAAGTTTAGACTTATGACTTAGCCTGGTATACGCTTCAAAAGACAGTCATCATAACCATTGTCTAATTTTAGTGAATTCAGTTATAAAAGAATAATCTGACTGGAAATGGGGCAAAGGACTGTACTTGTAATATATAAATTATACTACTGTATTATTCCTATTTTAAAATGTGACAGCAACTGTTTTTCATAAGCATGCATGTGAATATTCTTTTTACCTAGAATAACTATGACAATTGATTATCATTCTGGCTGATACTCAATCCCAAAATTTTTAAGTTGAAAAATGGAAACAAAGCTGACAATTAATAAAACGTGAGTTTATCCAGTACAGTCATGTGTCACTTAACGGGGATACGTTCTGAAAAATGTGTCGTGAGGTGATTTCGTTGTTGTCGTGAGGTGATTTCATTGTCGTGTGCGCATCATAGAGTACTCACACAAACCGAGATGGCATAGTCTACTACACACCTAGGCTGTATGGCACTAATCTTATGGAACTACCATCGTATATGCGGTCTGTCACTGACCAAAACGTCATTATGTGTCACGTGATTGTATACAGAAGCAGCAAAAAATAAAAATAAAATTTGTTTAGTTTTCCTTAGGCATTTCTCTTGGTGTCAATATGTCTAGTTCTCACCCCATCACTCAAGTTCTAGGGTCAACCCTCCCTCTGAGAAACTGTTCCAGATGCTGCCTTCAGTCTCCCCCACTGGTCACAGTTCCTCTGACTCAGTCAGGGTGGGGGGGGGGTCCTCCTCCATCCCCACTCAGCAAATAGCACTCTATTAAAATGGCCTCTTATCTGTCTTCAACACTTGACTAAGATTCTTAAGGGCAGAAATGGGTCTCAACTTTATGTCCCCTGCCCCAGCAGAAAGCTCAATAAATATACACTGAATAAAGGAACAGATTGATCTTTCCCCTCAGGCTGTATTTTACTTGAGGGCAAGGCCCATGTCTTACTCATCTTCCATTCTAACAGTACTGACTCTCAAATGCCTGATACTTGTACATGGCAGGCTGTGAGGAAGCACTGCCATTCCAGTATTAGCCTCCAGACCAGAAAGATCTCTAAGATGCAAATAAACTTCACTGAGGCCTTTGTGTAAACCAAGTATCCACCATTAGTTGTAGGGGCACTGCAGAAACAGAGAAGAGCTGGAACACCAGTCGTGGGGAGAGTGACAGATTTCATCCCCAGTAAAACATTAAGAGATGATTAGTAAAAGAAGCTAAGATCCATAAGCCTAGACATCTATATTTCAGTGAATAAAACTTTCTCTTAACTTCGGAACTTGTCCACATCTCTAATTTTGTTAATGCCTGTTGATTTTCCTGTGGTTAATAGAAATAAAAGGTCTTGAAGAAAACTCCAAAAGGGGTTGTGCCTGGGAGGGGAGAAGGAGGAGCCATGAGATCACATCCTATTAGGAAGCAACCTGAGAGGAAGAAAGGGAACTAGCTGAGGGGGGTCAATAAGTGGGTGTGGCCAGGGAAGGGGCAGTGCTAAATTCAGGGTCCTCAAACCGGGATTCTCCTAGTTTGGGGGGAGACAGATGGCAGGATGCATTTGAAACCACAGCATAAGAATGAAAAATAGAGCATCTATTTTTAGAAAGTCAATTTTATTCCAAGATTTGGGAGGGGGTGCAGTGACAGTTTTGTGTTAAAAATACAAATATGACTAAAACATAAAATTCAAATGAATTAAGGTAAACCATGAGACTAAGGACTTGAATCAATTTTGTTCATTGTTCCAAGAAAGCATTCCCAGGATGGCACACTGCACAAGACACTCCTGGGTCCTTTCTCTTCAACAGAAGTTTGCTGAATGGATGGCCAAAATGTTCACTAATAAGCTAACAAAGCTGTTCTCAACAACTTTCACATCATAATTTGGTGTTCACATAAACAAGACAAAACTTCAAAAAAGTTGTTTACGGGGCATAATTTATCGATGGCACAACAACTGCCCATATATAAGTAACAAGTCACCCTCTACCTGAGGCAGCGATAAACTGCATAACTGCCAAATATTAGCCATATTTCTACCACTTTTCATCCAAGAAAGCCTATCAGTTATGCATGAGAAGTAATATTCATAGAGATATTTCTTAATATGTCCTAAATTATTTTTCTAAAACTAAGTCATTTTAAAACTCTGATATTTTATTATTACCAAGAAAGTACTCTTGGATCACCTCCCCAGGTGCATCGCCACACCTACGCCTTCAACATCAAAATGTGACTGATCAGATACACAGTCGGGTACACATGCTGACCCAAGTTAAAATGGGACTGCGACAGTATTTCTATAGCGTAACTACAAGCGACAATTAGGAAGAGGGTAGAGAAATGCAAGAGCCACCAGGAGAGCCTGGACAGAAAGTAAT